TTTTAGTTTTTTTTGGGGGGGAAATTTTGGGGGGTTTTTTAAGGGGGTTTTTTAAAGGGGGAACCCTTTAACCCCTAAGTTTTTTGGGGGGAAAAAAAAAAAGGGGGGGAAAAAAAAAAAAAGGGGGGAAAAAAAAAAGAAAAAGGGGGGGTTTGGGGGGGGGGGGGAAAAGGGGGGGGGGGGGTTTTGGGGGGGGGGGGCCCTTTTTTGGGGGGGGGGGTTTTAAAAAGGGGGGCCGGGGGGGGGCGGGGGGGGGGGGGGGGGGGGCTTTTAAAAAAAAAAAAAAAAAATCCCAAACAAAATTTTTTAAAAAAAAATTTTTTTAAAAAAAGGGGGCCCCCCCCCTTAAAAAAAAAGGGGGTGGGGGTTTTGGGGGGGGGGGGTTTTTTAGGGAAAGGGGGGAAGGGGGGGGGCGGGGGGGTTTTAATTTTAAAAAAATTTTCCCGGGGAAAAAAATTTTTTGGGGGGGGAAAAAAATTCCGGGGGGGGGGGGGTTTTTGGGAAAGGGGGGGGGGGGGAAAAAAGGGGGGGGGGTTTTTGGGGTTTTTTGGGGGGGTTTTTTTTGGGGGGGGGGGAAAAAAAGGGGGGGGGAAGGGGGGGGGGGGGGGGGGGGGGGGGTTTGGGGGGGGGGGGGGGGGGGGGGGGGGGGGGGGGGGGGGGGGGGGCTTTTTTTGGGGGTTTTTTGGGGGGGTTTTTTTTTTTGGGTTTTTGGGGGGGTTTTTGGGGGGGGGAAAAACCCTTTTTAAAAAAATTTTTTGGGGGGGGGGGGTTTTTTTTTAAATTTTTTTTTTGGTTTCCCCCCGGGGCCCAAAATTTTGGGGTTTTTCCCCCCCAAAAAAACCCCCCAAAAAAAAAAATTTTTTTTTTTTTAAAAAAATTGGGGGGAAAAAAAAAAATTTTTTTCAATTTTCCCCCCCGGGGGGGTTTTTGGGGGAAAAGGGGGGGGTTTTTTTTTAAAAAAAAACCCCCAAAAAAAAGGGGGGGGGGGGGGGAAAAAAAAATTTTTTTTTTATTAAAAATTTTTTTTTTTTTTTTTTGGGGGGGGTTTTTGGGGGTTTTATTGTTTTTTAAAATCCTTTCTTTTTTGGGGGTTGGGGGGGTTTTTTTAAAAAAATTTTTGGGGAAAAAAATTTTAAAAAAAAAATTTCCCCAAAAAAAAATTTTTAACCCAAATTTTTTTTCCCTTTTTTTAAAAACTATTAAAAAAAAAAAATTTTTAAAAAAATTTTTTTAAAAGGGAAAAAAAGGGCTTTTTTTTGTTTTTTCCCCCAAAAAGGGGTTTTAAAAAAGGTTGGGTTTTTTTGGGGGGGGGTTTTTTTTTTTTAAAAAAAAAAAAAAAATTTTTAAAAAAAATTTTTTTTTGGGGGGGGGGCCCCGTTTTTTGGTTTTTTTTTAAAAAAAGGGGGGCTTTAATTTTTTTTTTTAAAATTTTTTTGGGGGAAAAAAAAATTTTTTTTAAAATTTTTTTTAAAAAAAAATTTTTTTTGGGAAAACCGGGGGGGAAAATTTGGGGGGTTTTTTTTAAAAGGGGGGTTTTTTTTTGGGGGGGGGGGGGGGGGGGGGGGGGAAAAATTTTTTTTTTTTTTTTTTTAAAAAAAATTTTTTTTTCTTTTTTGGTTTTCTTTAATTTAAAAAAAATTTTTTTTTTTGGGGGGGGGACCATTTTTAAAAATTTTTTGGGGGGGGGGGGTTTTTTTTTTTCCCCCCTTGGCCCCCCCCCCAAACCGGGGGGCCCCCCCAAGTTTTTTTAAAAAAAATTTTTTTTGGTTTTCCCCCCCCTTTTTTTTTAAAAAAATTTTTTAAAAAAATTAAATTTTTTTTCCTCTTTTTTTTTTTTTGGGGGTTTTTTTAAAAAAACCCCCAAAAAAATTTGGTTTGGGTTTTTTTTTTAAAAAAAAGGGGTTTTTTTTTTTTTTTAAAAAAAAACCCCCTTTTTAAAAAAAAATTTTTCTTTTTCCCCTTTGGGGGGGAAAAATTTAAAAATTTAAAAAAACCCCCCTTTTAAAATTTTTGGTTAATTTTTTTGGGAAAAAAACCCCTTTTTTTTTGGGAAAAAAATTTTTTTTTTTTTTTTTTTTTTAAAAAAAAAAAAGATTTTTTTTTCCCCCCCCCAAAAAGGGGGTTTTTTTTTTTTAAAAAATTTTTTTTTTTTTAAAAAAAAAAAATTTAAAAACCCCTTTTCCCCCCCTTTTTTTAAAAAAAATTTTTAAAAAAAACCGGGAAAAAAACAAAAAAAAAAATTTAAAAAAAAATTTTTTTTTAAAAAACCCCAAAACCAAAACCTTTTTAAAAAAGGGGAAAAATTTTTAAATTAAAAAAAAAAATTTTTTTTTTTTGGGGGGAAAAAAAAAAAACCCAAACCAAAAATTTTTTTTTTTTGGGGGCCTTTTCCCGGGTTTTTCCCTTTTTTTTTTTTTGGGTTTTTTTGGGGTTTTTTTTAAAAAAAAAAAAAAAAAATTTTTTTTTTCCCCCCTTTTTTTTTCCCTTTTTTTTTTTTTTTCCCCCTTTTTTTTTTTCCCCCCCAAAAACAAAAAAAAATTTTAAAAGGGGGGGTTTTTTTTTTTTGAAATTAAAAGGGTTTTTTCCCCAAAAAATTTTTCAAAATTTTTAAAAAAAAAAAATTTTTTTTTTTTCCCCAAAAAAATTTTTTTTAAAAAAAAAAAAAAAAAAAATTTTTTAAAAAAACCCCCCTTTTTAAATTTTTTTTTTAAAAAAAAAATTTTTTTTTTTTTTTTTTGGGTTCAAAAAAAAAAGGGGAAAAAAAAAAACCCCCGGGAAATAGTCTTAAGTTTACAGGAGAGCTCTGGCGCAAAATGGACATGGTGTTGTAATAACATTGGTACTGAGACGACCGTTCTCTGGTATTTATTTTCATGATAATCGAATGTAAAGAGTTTTATCTCTTAATTGTTTAGCTTATAACACGAGAAGACAGTACCACAGTGTATACAGGCAGGAGCCATCTTTGGAAAACAGTCTAGACCAATCGAACCACGACCAGCGTATCTACAAGTTGGGGGTCATGAGATTCCAAATCACAATTCAGTTTGTAGCACGGCAAGCTTTACTTTGGATTATCATGAAAATAAATACAAGAGAACGGTTCAGAACAGTATCAATGTGTTATTACACCCCAGGTTCATTTTGCACCGGAGTTCTCCTTTTAATGTTTACAAAGAAGAGTTTGCTGATGTGTTTTACTGTTTACACACACAAATCCGCTGATGTATTGTCTTATTGTTTACTTGAGTATTGCAATTGTGACTGGTTCTGTTGTGTAAGAGTTTGTGGAGTATCTTTACACATTTAAACATTTGACAAATAAAGGTCTAATTAAAATGTCATATTTGTGCAGTTGCTTCATTTAGGGTGTTGATGTGAAGTGAATTGTAGTCCTGAACATACATTTACAAGTGGTTCTCCAACTGTAAATTCCCAAATTCAAAGTTGACAACAAAAAATCATATAATATAGCCATCAAAATAACACAGTTAAACTTCAATTAATGCATTAAATGCAATTAGAAGCTGCAGGCTTGATAGTGCAGATGCAAACAAACTGCAGATGAGTGGCGCATTTATAGCCCTTTTAGGAATTCAGATGGATGAAAGATAATAGGATTAAAATCAATGAGACAAATCAATAGAGCTCTAGGCTGATAAACCGCTGTGAATTCACTCCTTGATATTGATTGGTCCAGAGCACACAAACACAGGTCATAAGGAAACAGCATGAAAAGGGTAGGGGTTATGGGGGCTGGGGCACCATTCACCAAATCAGTTACCAAACTGAGGCATACTTCAACCTCAATACATGCTACTCTTTTCTGTCACACTGATCTTCTCCAGCCTTCTAGTTCGCTGCACAGATGGAAGAACACTCTGGATAAACGCGGAAAGAGAGGTTTTCCTTACAAATAATGTGGCAGCAGAAAAAAAACATGGAGAAATTCTGCAAATGTCCATAAATACACGTTCAATGGCAACATACTTAAGCCCTTAATGTCATATTATTATTTTCTAAAACACTGAAATTTGTGTTTTTTCAAATGTCAATCATCACTATCAAAATCAGAAAAAAATAGGTATGTAATTGTTCCACTGTTTGCATGATAAATCAATGTAAAAAGGTTTTAGCTTGTCAGTGCAAAATGTGTTCTTGATATTCTAATTCATTTAAATGTGCTAGTATACCAAGCTGTTGGCAAAAATATTGAACAAACACTTTTTTTTGCACACTAGTTTGCAACCTATCTACACTAACTCACTTTTCTCAAAATACAAGCAGAAGCCCCAACAAGTATAACAAGAACAGAACTACAAATTAAAATATAGTTTACAAAAACAAGTTTCAATAGATTTTTAAATAAAACTCAAAATTAATTAGTTTGTGGTTGTTGATAGTTGGTGAAAAAAACAACTCTTTTCCCAGTGACACAAAATTAGGTTTTAAATTTCACTTGGGGAATCTAAAACCCAATTAGGTGCTGTAAAGCCTAAATAGTCAAACTAGTTCTTTTACACTAGTGTAGTTAGGTGTTGTACTCTTATGGCGCCCCTTTTATAAACCTTAGAAAGTTACTGATAAAAGAGTTTTAAGTAATGCATTTTATCTAAATTTAAAAACAAAATTTTTAAAAGTGACTTAACGTCTACTTAGCCTGTGCACGGGGAAAAAAAAATTTTCAGAAATAACATCTTCAAAAAAAAAATTTCTGCAAAAACAGCTACATTGGATTGTGGTTTTTTTCAAACAGTAACACAGCATAGCACAAAAAATGTTATTTTATAAAAGGCAACAAAAATATAGATCTTTAATAAAAAAAATGTATTTTAAAAAAGGTCAGAAAAATTTGTGATGCTAAATTGTGCCGTTTCCAAAGACTTTGCTCCCCTCTTCTTAGCTGTGGGCCAAGCTGACTTTTTTTTTATGAAGTTGCTTTTGCCACAGTGGCTGCTCAGGGTCCATTCCAAACAGGTGACAAAAGTTTCTCCTTGTCGTCCCGTTCTTTCGCCCCGAAGCCAAACATCCTCACAGGGGAAAAAAATCCAACCCCCTTTGCAATGCAACTATCAGGGGGGGTACCACTGGGACCAAAAAAGTACTGTTCCTCGGAAACGTAATTTTTGTTTAATCTGTGTGGCTTTATCTTTAAAGTTTGAAATACTGGGTCTATTTTTTCTGGGGTTCCTAGGCTTCAGTTAAAGCTAAACAGCTGATAAAAAAGACCTCCCCTAGAAACTCCCTAGAACTTTTGGGATGAGAATTCATCATAAAATAAAAAAAATTTTGGACAACAGTGAGAAATCCTCTTCATCAGACTGTTTATCAACAACAGAGCGTCTTCATTTCAGAGGCTTCTCCAGATCTGGTGCAAGACAGACTGCTACAGAAGATCATTCCTGACTAAAACTATAACAACTTCTGAAAATTAATCCTTTAATTTAGTATCATTCCTCACATTGAAATTTCCTCTTAGGGACCCAACTACAAGTCTTATATTCAGATAAATTTTTGGAACTGACTTAAATCTCCAGACCCACTTTGATTAATGAGAAAACAATTGTGTATCGCAGAAGACTTCATTTTGTTTGGACCCTTAATCCTTTTTGAAACAAATTTCCTTGTCTTTCTCAACTTTCTATGAATTTTTAAAACTGAATAAAGGGTTCATTGGCCATCAGCAATAGGATTCCTTTATTATTTTAAAAATGCATCTAAACTATATTATTTGAGGACTATTTGGCAAGGGAAAAAGGCTGTGTGAAAATCATTCTGCTTTCTATACATAATTTTCTTTCCTACAACAGCCATCTCAGCATAGAAAGGACTCTTATCAGTCTTTAATAAATTGTTTACGTGAATATAATTAGTGTTATGTTGTACGCTTTTAAAGTGACATAAAAATTAGCGTTTAAGATATCTTTTTTATTTACCCTTAAGACTAAAACACTGATTAAGTCTGACACCTCAGCGTTCATGAATCTAAACCCTGTAGCCTATTTTCCTTTAAATTTTTACTGTAGTCAAAAATTTCCCTGCATCTTTGGGGGATATGACGTCAAGCGTGTCCATGTAAAGGGGTCCAACAGCAAGTATTAAATTCAAGATAAATTTTTGTGGATACTCAAAAGCACTTCAGAACTCCACCAAAAATCAAGACACCAATTGCAACCTAATGAGATGAAAAAAAAAATAAAAATTGTCAATATAACGAGCAAAAGGGCGCAGTTTAGTGTTTTGGCCACGGGTGGCAGTACATTATAACAGCCTCTTTGAACAAAAGGGTCTTAGAGTTAAGTTCGTTTAACCAAATGGTGCTGGTCGGAAAAGGTCGGATTCTGTGAAATTTCCCAACATAATCCACCCAAATGCCCTAATAGACTTTATTTTGCCCTGCGCATCATACGATAACGGGGAGCATCTCTGAACTCAGTCAGGTTTAAAAAATTGTCTTCACATGCATAAATATTAGGATTTTTTTACTGAGCCCTAAAAGTGACCATTATTCAGCAAATTGAAGCAGTTTGCATGTTTTTTTATTTTATTTTCCAACAACTAGTGAAAGTAATTAGTGCACCTGAATTTAATCATCCTTGGAAAAAGTGAATGAAGTTTCTCTTTAATGGTATATTTAATTTAACTGCAAGCTAAGTAACACATTAAAAGCATACAGACATATTAGCTGTCGGTTGTGTCTTTAAAAAACTAAACATGCTCTCTTGAACTCTAATTAAAAGTGAAATTTATCTTCTAGATATGAAAAGACATGGAAGACATTATCAGTTCCAGCTGAGATGCCACCGAAACCACCATTAATAAGCCATTTCAATCAGTTTGTATCCGTTTCATTTCCTTCATCATGCATTTCTTTTTATCATTTAACATATTTTAAGTGTTGTGCCACCAAGTAATGAAGACCTTCATTACAAAAGTTCTTTCAAGATTATTCAGTTTGAAGCTTATTTAGTTTATTTTGAATTATTTTTATTGTTTGTCACCAGAGTGGGGTAGTAGTGTTATCAGAAATAAATTATTACCTTCTATTTAAGGGTCAAGGTCAATACTGTGATGCTTTGAATAAATATTTATGTAAGTTATGTAAGTTTACAAATATCATCATTGAACCTTACATTGTGTAAGAAGAATAAGTAAAACTAAATCCTCAGATAGTGATTTGCAAGAAGTAAGACCTCTCTACACTCTGTCAAATTTCTACTTACCACAATACTTTCGAAGTCTGATTCAACCTCCAGAGGCTTCAATACTTCTTCAAATTTCAGTTCCCTCTCGTCACTTGCCTTGAGCTACAATCAGTAATTTCACAGTTAATGGATGGAGGAAAACTAAATATTGATTTTTCACGTTTGCGTGTGTTTTCTAACCTCTCTGTCCAAAACTTTTTTCAGGCCTTGGTCCCATTCTTCCATGTCATTGCTGAGTAAAGCACTTATTTCCTTCCTGGGTGATGTCTCTGCCCAAACAAACACCATAGTAATGTTTGGTAATGGTAGCAAAACAAGCTAAACAAGTTGAGCCAAATCCCGGATTTTACAGGCTTCTGATGCTAAAGCATTAAAAAAAAATAGAGCTTGTAAAGAGGTTATAATACATTCATGTTGGGGGTCAATACATTTTTGGCCTTGATCATTATGCAACAAAACACATGTTTTAAGGAATGTTAATTTTATTTCAGACGATCCAGTAAAATTACACATTTTAACACATGCAACAGTTATGTATAATTAATTATATATATAATTATGTAATTTTCTATAATTGAGTGCTTATATTTGGAAAGGGGAATAAAGAAGTGAAACTTAGTCATTGTACCCCTTGTCTTTCATACAGTGTTTAACACCAACAATCATCTGATTCCTGCTTACAGACAAGGACAAAACTTTTGGTATGATCAAATGTCAAACATATAATCAATCCTCTTGGCAGAATCTTAGACAAAAAGATGGAATACATACCAAATTAATGACCATAAAGAATGACTTTGTTTCTTAGTTTTCTAAAAGCTGTCCGAGGAAAATTAGGGAGCTTTTAGCAAACCATTTAAAGCACATCCTGCTCAGGGTCGGTCCTACCACTTTTTGAATCAGCTCTTCCCGGTACTCTTTTACCTTCAGTTGCATTTGCTCCTTCATCTGCTCAGTCATCACATTAATATCCTCTTCATTCCTCTTCAAGATGTCTAAATGTGTTTTATTTTTACTCTCCAGCTCCTGTTCACCATAAGGTGTTAAAAATAAAAATAAGGTGTTAAAATATGAGTTTTACCTTTACTGATGAGCCTAAAACTGCATTACAGCAATTTATCTAAATAGTGATAATAACTGAATAGTTACCTGCTGAAGCTCAGGAATGATATTCATCTTGCTTTGGAAGAGAGTTTCATATAGCTGCTGTTGTCTGTGAAAGGCTTTCTGCATTTCCTCAGTGGTGGATTTTTGACTCATATCTAATAATCCTCTCAATTCTTCATCACACTTTTTTACTAAAGTTGAATCATTTTCCAACAACTCCTCTCTGAGTAATAATAAATACATAAAGAATAAAGGCCTGTGTTAAGATTTGCGGTACCATGCATACTAAACTGAGTAATTACCTTTCCTTTGAGCTGCAGCCCTCGTCTCCTCTCTGCCACCACTTTGGCATCAGCTTCAGCTTGGATGTTTGACAAGAATGTGTTCAGATCTCTCTGCAGATATTTTGTCCTCTAAGGATAATGAGATTAATTTTGCATTATTCTGTGTTCTGACAAAATACTCAATGCTGACCCTCAAGGCTGGAGGGTGTCCATTTAAAAAGTGCTATAGGAAACCTATAAAATTGATTATTCCTCTGAAATTATATGGTATCACTTCAGATGACCTCAAGTTCTGGCAAAGGGCAGTTCTGTGGCCAGACCAGTAACCATGGAAACAAGTCCACTCAGTCCCTTCTAAAAAATATATCTAAAAAATATTTTTAATTTATCTAAATATTTAAAATGTATACTAATTTTAAATTTATCTAAAAAAAAAAAAAAACCTTTAAGTTTGTGACAAATCGAGCTTTCTAAACTTCCTAGTTATTTTAAAAACATATAGAAATGTGGGCATATTACAGATTTGTGCCAACATTTATAACCATCAGTTTGCCAAAGCTTCCTAATTTTAAAGTAGCAACGTCCGGCGAGAAAAACGGTTGTTTTGAAGATGTGAAACTTTTTACTCACTCTCTCTGGTCTTTCTTTTAGTTTTTCCCTTTTTCCTTCTCCATTTTGAAGCTTTGATTTCACGTATTACGAATACCGCTAAAAAACGTTTCTTTTCCGTAAAAATAAACCAAGCAAAGTTAAAAGCAACAGGAAAATGTCCGCTTTTGTTGGGCACACCAACGGCTCGCCGTTTGCTAAAAAAGCGTTTCTATGGCAACAGTCACAACTGCTTCCAGTGCTGCCTTCAAAACCATCGTAAACTAGGATACTACAAAACGTAAGCAGTGAAGCTTTATTTATATTTTTTTTTTTTGCGCTGTTTTTACAGTTTACTTAGAAGTTGAGGAAGTTTCGGAATACAAACATTCAAATTTACGAGCATATAAACTCAACAATAGTTTTAAACAAAAAATTCTCTAAGTAGAAACAACGTGTTTGTTAATCTTTCATGGCAACAGTCACAATGGCATTCATCCCTTCCAAACAACCTCTAAAAATATACACGTATTTAAGGAAACTATATGTATTTATATTGTTTATGAAGTTTAAAGACGACTGTTCATTAAAGTCACTTATTAATAGAGGTAACTTTTGAATGATCAAACTCATATTAAGAGCAATTCTATTTTTTATCCTAACTTTGTAAAGAGTTGGGAATCACAAACCAAATGGATTCTAAACATTCATAAAATTATTTCGGCTAATTAACTTTCATTTTTGTTCATGGAACCAAAATCGATTACATTAAATAGTTTTTAACCATATCTTTTTTCTTCTTTTTTTTTTTTTGAATATAATGACATTTGCTCTTTCTATATAAAATTAAGTTTAATTTTGTTTATTTTGATTAGAAATTTTTTTTCCAAAAAGAGTAATATCCCTTGAAATCCATGTAATAAAAAATGTTTTTTTTGCATTTTTTTTAAATATTCCTATGGATAAAAACTGTTGTATCTTTACAGATCAGTATTCCTAAGTATTTTACTTCTTTCTTTATTTTTATATTATGGAGTGTTTAGAGAGGGTAATCATGAATAGTTTGAATTTCACACTTGTCCTTATGTAGTGCAAGCTTTAGAAAATCAGTCTATTGTTTTTTATTTGGAAATTAAATGGTCAACCAAACTAACTTAATATTCAAGACTTATTTTTACTATTATCAATAATTATATACTAACGTGAAAAAATCTAAACATACAAAAGAAAAAACATAGCACAGTTTATAATATGTTTTGGTAAGGGCCACCATTTGTAGTTCTCTAAGCAGTGAGGTCACGGGGTTGGTTGTTTGGTTGGTTGTATACTGTAGCCAGCAGTTCATCCTCCCACAGCAAAATTAGACAAGCTGGTTGAAAGGAGGGTTAGTGTGTCCTTTACCAATTGCTTGCAACTTGTTTAGCTGGGGCTCCACATTCTCCTTGAATCTGCTATTGTTCTCTTCAAAAAAAAAAATTTCTATTATAAATGGGGGAATGGGGGCCCAAAGGGTTTAGGCCTAGAGGGTTGGAACCATGAGGTTCGATTTTTTGTGCGCCCCCACAGGTGCCACTTTTGGTGTTGGAGCAAAACCCTTAACCCCAATGCTTCCCCGGGCGCCACAGTGGCAGCCTACTGCCCCCAAAGGGATGGGTTAATTGAGAGGCAAATTTTTTGAAAAAGTGAAAATTATTCTCCAAAAACTGAAAATTTTTATTTTTAAAAAAATATTTAAAAAAACAAAAATAGATCAAGTATAAGCTTTAAAAAATAATAATTTAAATTTATGGTTCCTCCCAAAGTTTTCCATCCTCTAATGGAAAAAAAAAAAAATGAATAAAGGTAAGAAAGGAAGAGGATTATTAAAGTAAAAAAGTATTTTAAATAAAAATATTAATGGGAGAAACAGAAGGGAAAGTAATGATGATCAGTTTAAGAGGGGGCATCCCTATTTAAATTTATCTCTCAGATGGTTTTTAACCCTTTTATTTTAATAATTGTCGTATAAAAAAAGGGTATAAAACGGACTTAAGGTTAATAGAAATATCATCAACCCAGACTGAGAAGTTTACTTAAATTGCAAGGGCACATCTTTAATTTTGGTGGAGAAAGGGGTTAGAAATGAGCCCAGATAAGGGTCCAACAATTTCCTACAAAAAAATGTGGGGGACTCACCCTGTGACAATGTAAAATATACAGTAATGAACAAATAGTTTGTCATAAAATTTCCCCCCAAAAAAAAAGGGTATTTAAAAAAAAAATAATGTGAATAAATTAAATCAAAAATGCAAATTGAGCAATCTGTCTAATCTAAACTTCCTCCAAAACAGTTGTCAAAAAATGTGACCACTTACACCTAATGAACTCTTTAAAGATTTTTCAATTGGTTTTAAAAGAGCTAATCATAGGTTTGTAACAGTCGGTTAAAGACATAAATGATTTCAGGGCCTGAGATAATAGACTGTATTTGTACTGTAATTTTGGTAGGAATTAAGGGGAAACAGCACTAGGTGGTTTAAAGCATATTATTGACAGTTTCAGTTTTTTCTGATGATAATATATCTTCCTCATGCATGGTCCATGTGGGTCCAGGGGATAATCCCGGGGCCCGTTCTCTTTCTATTCACACTAAGGAATGTACAGTTTTAAAACTGCCCAAAATCCAGGCCTCTTTGATTAGGAAAATTTTGATTTTTTGTTTTTTTTCCAGAGCACAAAACGGGATCCGTTTTACATTTCATTTACACAAATCCCGGGAAAAAAGCACAGTTTAGGGATTGTCTATTAATAAATATTAGCCAGGCAGTAGTTAAACCCCGATTTTTTTTATCTCAATGCCCCCAGAATTTTCGATTTTCACCGTCCGTATCACCCAATTACCCTTTGATAGAAAAAGGTCAAAATGCAAGAGCATACCACACCCTAAAGAAACATCCCCCCTTTTCTTTGCACTAATGATTTATAATGGTGATATCACATGAAATATGTAAAAGCACCCCAAAAAATTTCAGTTTATTTTTTACTGAAATCCATTATCTTTTTTTTTTTAAAAAATGTCCTGTCGGGGAATGTGGAAATAAGAATAATTTTCTTGATGCCAAAAAGGGGCCCCAAAAGATTTTTCTTTACAAATGTGGGAGTATGGCAATTGCCCTATTCTCCCCAAAAACCTGCTTATTTTTCTTTTTAAAAAAAGCAAAATTTTAAAACCCTGTCAATAGCAGGGAAAAGAGATGATGAGGTGGGAATATCTAATAACTGTTTTTTCTTAAATTTATTTGAATAATTCAGTATTTTATATACTATTTTGTCCATTAAATGGTTAGGAGTGTTGACCAAAAGACTGTAAGAGTTGTTTGATTTTCCTGATTGTGTTTTTTATTTTTTTTTTTTTTTTTTTCATTTTAACCGGGGTAGTATTTGGAACGAATGCTTTCGTATTTGGGAAATGTAAAACATATGAACCCGAAAGGGAGAAATTTAGAGTAGTTGAAAGGACAGCCAAGAAAGGGGTTTAAAGGATTATTGGGGGAAAAATAAAAGGGTATTTATAGTTAAGGAAAGCATTATTTTTTTATCGCAGAATGCAAAAAAAAAAATAGAATTTAATAGTGTAAATCAAATTTTCTACACACTCATGAACAGTAGGGGGCGGAGCACCTTAAAGTTGCTTGCGATCCGCCCTGTAGAAAAAAAAGAAGAAGAAAAAGGGAAACGGGGCTTTTATTGGATGAAAAAAAGCTGAGCGTGATTGGTGATGGTATGGGTCATTTACATGTGAAGTTGCGAGCGCAGGGTCGAGCGAGCGGAGAAACAGCTGAGCGCACGCTGTGTTGAGGCGGAGAGAAAAGGTCGAGCGCGAGCAGAGACGGATTCGGCAGCGCAGAGATGAAACTGAGTGCGGAACAGTGTGTTTAGAGGGTTTTTCAGAGTTAGCGCGCGAGACCGGTTTGCGCGCGGCGCGGTGTTGTCTCATGCGTGCTCGGATTGGGTTTCCCGCGCGCTTAAACCGTGGACAAATTTTCTCCATAGGCAACGAGATTTCTGCTCAAAATTTTGCATTTTTTTTTTTTGACATCCCCACTGAAACGATGGACAGGCATTAGATGGTTTAACAATCAACATGGTTTGCCCAGCTCGCAGCGGTCCCATGGTGTAATGGTTAGCACTTGGACTTTGAATCCGCGATCCGAGTTCAAATCTCGGGGGGACTCGTCTTTTAGTCCGAATTTTACTCAGGTGTTATGCACCTTTTTGATGTAGTGTTTTACTTTTAAAACACCCGATCAAATCGCCCGGTCATAATAGCAGGGCATGGAGAACCTGACTGCATAAGAGGGATTCACAGGGGTGAAGTTTGGGCTGAGAAAAATACGGAAAAATTACACTGTTGAAAAGGTATGAAGCAAAAATTAAAGTAAATTACTTGCTTTTGAACAGTGTTTTTTTGAATAATCTACACAGCTCCATTTTTTCGTATCATTTTATATTTCTTTTATTTTTAACAACAAATGGCAAAAATAAATTACTTTTCAAATTTTAAAAAAAATAAAATGCCAGTCATATAAAGGGCCAAAAGATAAAGTAAAAATAATTTCAACAAAAATTTCAAAAACTTTGGCTTAAAGTTTATTTCTTTTGAAAGTGATTTATTCCCAATTTCCTTATTTGATTTTTTGTTACAAATATTTGAAGACATAACAAAAAAATCCCGGGTTTCCCGTTTTGCACTCTCGATTTTTGCCCTTTTTTATTTTATTCTACAAAAAAAAGAGTTTTCTTATTTTTCAAGTATTAATGTATTTTGGTTCTATAAAAGTGCTTTTTTTTAAAAATCGCCAATTTAATGTAAAAATTTGTTACTATCTGTTTCCTAAATAGAATGTACTTTTTTATTAGAAATGCGTTTGTTTCCATACAAAATAAAATTTTAAAAATAAATAGCTCATATCAGTTATGTTTGGTTAGAATGAAAGCATGTTTGATTTTATGGGTGTCAATGTTTTAAAAAACTGACAAAAAAATATTCAAACTGCATATTTTCTTTGTATGTGAAAATCCAGTTTAAATATGTACTATTTTCATTTTAAAAAACAAAAAAAAAAAAAAAAACCTTATCTTTTTATGAGAGTCCACAATTGTCAGTGGGTGACAAAATTGTAGGGAATCAATGCTAAGGCTTTTCTAATCTGTTTATCTTGTAAACTTTGCTCTCAGGTAGTCCAGTCTATGTGCAGTTTGCAAAACGGTGCACTCCAACTTGCAAAATTGAGATTCACAGTGACATCTGTCATATTCTAACATATTAGAAGCTGTGAATTGCGCTTATTAGAACATAACAGCGCTTTAGATTTGTGTATAAAATCAGATCAACTAAATTTATAGGGTGAGGGCCACCCGTCCAAACTCTCAACAGATGTAATCGCAAAATGCACTTTATCAAACCGTGCACAGATTACAAAAATGTGCGCATGGATTTCCACCAGCTTTGTTTTTAAACCACTGAGAGTGTAATTTTCAATACTTATGCACCTACAGATGTGAATTTAGTCAGAGCCTTCTTTAAAAATGTTTAGAATACACAAAAACCTACATTGAATCCCTTACGCTTCTCTTCCTCACATTGCGCACAGAAAAAAAAATGCAATGATGCCACTTTACCTTTTAAAACATGACACTTGCGTTTTCTCCACATTGTTCATATTCATTTCCTTCCTTCTTTAAAGCCGATGGGTTTTCTCTCATGAGTTTTATAAATTATATTCAGTACCTGAAACCTTGTAAAAATGTAACTCAAGACAATCATATGGAGAGATATTTGTGCCATCGGTTTGAGCGCGCAGGAACCAATCCGAGCGTGCAGTGAGACAACACGTCGGGGGGCAAAACCGGTCTGGCGCGCGCTCAACTCTGAAAAACCCTCTCAACACACTGTTCTCGCGCTCAGTTTCATCTCTGCGCGTGCTCGAATCCGTCTCTGCTCGCGCTCGCTCGACCTGCTCTCTCTCCGCGCTCAACACCAGCTGTGCGCTCGGCTGTTTCTGCGCTCGCAACTTCAGCAATGTATGTAAATGAACCATACCATCAGCCAATCACACGCAGCTTCTTTTCATCCAATGAAAGCATTCCTTCCTTCTTCTTCTTCTTCTTCTTCTTCTTCTTCTTCTTTCTTCTTCTTCTCTTCTTCTTCTTCTTCTTCTTCTTCTTCTTCTTCTTCTTCTTCTTCTTCTTCTTCTTCTTCTTCTTCTTCTTCTTCTTCTTCTTCTTCTTCTTCTTTCTTCTTCTTCTTCTTTTCTATCATGGCGGATCGCAAGCAACTTTAAGGTGTATACCGCCACCTACTGTTCATGAGTGTGTAGCAACATTGTTTTACATCTATTAAATTCTATTTTTTAATTTTGTATTCTGCAGATAACTAAATAATGCTTTCCTTAATCTATAAATATCCTTTATATTTCCTTTATTTCCCAATAATCCTTTAAGACTCCATTCTTGGCCTGTCATTTCAACTACTCTTCTCAATTTCTCCCTTTCAGGTTCATATGTTTTACAGTTCATTAATATGTAAGCATTCGTTCCAAATACTACATCCGGTTAAATGAAAAAATAAATAAATAAAATAAATAAAAACACAATCAGGAAAATCAAACAACTCTTACAGTTATTTGGTCAACACTCCTAACCATTTGATGAACAGAAGATATTACTATAAAATATCTTGAATTATCTCAAATAAACTTCAGTAAAACAGTTATTAGATCATTGCCTCATCCATCTCTTTTACCTGCTATTGACATGGATTTAAATTTGATGCTTTAAAAGAAAAATAAGGAGGATATTTCAGGTTTAACAATATATAGATAAAAAAATATTATGGATATGTTAAATTTTTTATGGATGCTTCAAAATATTCCAATATTAGGAATGGTGTTTTGTTTTAGTTTCAGAATTTATTTTTAAATCGGGTAAAAGAATCAGTGATGGAATTCAGCCTACAAAGGAGAAATGTTTTGGATCATATTGGCCTTACAATGGATTGAAGAAATCGTTCCATTAAGAAGTTTAGTTTGCTCTGATTTTAGATCAGCGACCGTTATATTAATTTAAACGCAATTATTCAGACAGCAGACCTGATCTGAAATTTAACAATTATTATTTAGAAGACCTTTTACAGATGGACTCTAAATAAGAGGGTTATTCTTTATTATATATATTAAAAAGAATAATTTGATAAACAGGATTTTTCAGTTGGTGGCGGTAATTGTTGTTTGCCAACCTCCATAAAAAACAACAAAAAGAAGAAACACCCGCCACAAAAGCTAAGAGTAAGGCCAATATGATCCAAAACATTATCTATATACTGTTGAACCATACTTGAACCTGAAATATCCTCCTTATTTTTCTTTTAAAACAGCAAATTTAAATCCATGTCAATAGCAGGTAAAAGAGATGGATGAGGCAATGATCTAATAACTGTTTTACTGAAGTTTATTTGAGATAATTCAAGATATTTTATAGTACTATCTTAGGAATGTTGACAAAATAACTGTAAGAGTTGTTTGATTTTCCTGATTGTGTTTTTATTTATTTTATTTATTCATTTAACCGGATGTAGTATTTGGAACGAATGCTTACATATTAATGAACTGTAAAACATATGAACCTGAAATGGAAAAATTGAGAAGAGTAGTTGAAATGACAGGCCAAGAATGGAGTCTTAAAGGATTATTGGGAAATAAAGGAAATATAAAGGATGTTTATAGATTAAGGAAAGCATTATTTAGTTATCTGCAGAATACAAAATTAAGAAATAGAATTTAAAAGATGTAAAACAATGTTGCTACACACTCATGAACAGTAGGTGGCGGTATACACCTTAAAGTTGCTTGCGATCCGCCATGATAGAAAAGAAGAAGAAGAAGGAAGGAATGCTTTCATTGGATGAAAAGAAGCTGCGTGTGATTGGCTGATGGTATGGTTCATTTACATACATTGCTGAAGTTGCGAGCGCAGAAACAGCCGAGCGCACAGCTGGTGTTGAGCGCGGAGAGAGAGCAGGTCGAGCGAGCGCGAGCAGAGACGGATTCGAGCACGCGCAGAGATGAAACTGAGCGCGAGAACAGTGTGTTGAGAGGGTTTTTCAGAGTTGAGCGCGCGCCAGACCGGTTTTGCGCGCGCGCGTGTTGTCTCACTGCACGCTCGGATTGGTTCCTGCGCGCTCAAACCGATGGCACAAATATCTCTCCATACAATCATACATATACTCCTGCACACACACTCTAAGTAACGATGAAAAAACCCAAACAAACAGCAACAGTCATGTAACAATCTCATATGGCAATGTTAGGAGAATCTTTGGCTTTTCAAACAACTCCTACGTGACTCCCTGTCAAAACAACATTTCCTGCAAAAACAGCTACATCTGGATTGTGGTTTTACAAACAGTAACACAGCATAGCACAAAAGTGTTATTTGCATAAAAGGCAAACAAAAATATAGATCTTGAATTTAAAAATGTGTCAGAAAAATCTTGTGATGCTAAACTGTGCACGGTTTCCAATGACTTTGCTCCTCATCTTCTTAGCTGTGGTCCCAGCATGACTTTATTGATGAAGTTGACTATTGCCACAGCTGGCTGCTCAGGGTCCATCTCGGCAAACAGGTGACACACGTTCTCCGTTGTCGTCCCCGTTCTTCTCGCCACAAAGCCAAACATCCTGCACAGGAGAAAAGAAATAAAACCACTTTGCAATGCAACTATCAGGGGGTGTACCACTGGTGCCAAATATAGATACTGTTACCTCGGAAACCTGTAATTTTTTTGTTGTAATCTGCGTGGCTTTATCTTTAAATGCTTAGTAAATACTGGGTCTACTTCTTTACTGGGGTTCCTTAGAGCTTTAGTTAAAGCTAAACAAGCTGATAAACAAGACCTCCTCTAGAAACTCCTCTAGAACTTTTGGAGATGAAGAATTCATCATAAAATAAAGAAAATTATGGACAACAGTGAGCATCCTCTTCATCAGACTGTTTATCAACAACAGAGCGTCTTCAGTCAGAGGCTTCTCCAGATCTGGTGCAAGACAGACTGCTACAGAAGATCATTCCTGTCTAAAGCTACAACAACTTCTTGAAAATAATCCTATGAGTTATTCTCACATTGAATTTCCTCTTAGGGATCATTACAGTCTTTCTTCAGTTAAATTGAACTGTCTTAATCTCAGACCCACTGATATGAACGAGTGTGATCGCTGTACCTTTTTATTGTACCCCTTTCCTTACAAAACAATTTCCTTTCTTTCAACTTTCTATGAATTTTCTAAAACTTATAAAGTTATGGCATCAACATACATTCCTTTCCATTATTAAATTCCTATCCTAAACTATATTATTGAAGATAGTGGCAAGGAAAAAGCTGTGAAATATTTGCTTTAATACAATAATTTTCTTTTCCTACAACAGCCTCTAGAAAGGCTCTTTATGACTTTTCAAAGTGTGTTTACGGGAATATAATCTACTTGTATGTTGTACGTTTTTAACTGAACAATATCTTTAAAATAGCCTTTTTATTTGACCCTTTAAGACTAAAACACTGATTTAGTCTGACACCTCAGCAGTTCATGAATCTATAAGCCTGTAGCCTATTTTCCTTAATTTACTGTAGGTCAGAAGTTCCTGCATCGTTTCTGGGGATATGACGTCAAGCGTGTCCATGTTAAATGGGTCCAAACTAGCAAGTATTATATTCATGATGAATTTTGTGGATACTCAGAAGCGACTTCAGAAGCATCCAGCACAAATCAAGACACCAATTGCAACTCTACATGAGATGAAAACAAAAATAAAAATTGTCAAGTATGAACGAGCAGAAGAGGGCTGCAGTTCTGTGTTTTGGCCACAGGTGGCAGTATCATTAGTAACATGCCTCTTTGAAAAAAATGGTCTTAGAGTGTAAGTTCTGTTTAACCAAATGGTGCTGTGTCTGGAGAAGGTCAGGATTCTGTGCAGATTCTCCATACATAGATCTCACCCAATATGCTCCTAATAGATCTTACTTGCCCTGCTGCAGTCATACGATAACTGGGAGCATCTCTGAACTCAGTCAGGTTTAATAAATTGTCTTCAGCATGCATAAATATTAGGAGTTATTTTACTGAGCTCCTAAAAGTGACCATTATTCAGCAAATTGAAGCAGTTTGCATGATTCTTTATTTTATATTCCTAACAACTAGTGAAAGTAATTAGTACACCTGAATTTAATCATCCTTGAAGAAGTGATGAAGTTTCTCTTTAATGGTATATTTAATTTAATTGCAAGCTAAGTAACACATTAAAAGCATACAGACATATTAGCTGTGGGTTGTGTCTTTAAAAAACTAAACCTGCTCTCTTGAACTCTAATTAAAAGTGAAATGTATCTTCTAGAGATGAAAAGACATGGAAAACTTGCAATAAAGCACCCGGTTTTAGCAAGCAAACACAGTGACACAAGCACTTACTTGCTTGACGTGCTATCAGAATTAATCCACCTGAAGCAAAGGCACACGGACACAGAGATAAAACATCAAGATGCATAAATGACCAGAAAACAGAGGCAAATTTAAAAGGCAAATGTTAGGATTTGTCAAAGTAAAAGAAGTAGACAAACAGCCACAAATACAACTTATATTTAAAAAAAATATAAGTATACAGAAAATATCTTTTACATTAGCGGTAACGGCGCATTTATTATAACATTTACTGAACACGGAAGACCTAAGCAGGTTAGATAGTCTTTTTTTTCTGTTCTTTCAATAAAATGCAGAATAATTCATATTTATTTCATCAAACCTCTGATCATGGGGATCCAGACTGCTGAAAGTAACACTGTTGATTGGGTAATGCCGCCTAAAAAAAAGCCTGCATAGACAAAAAAAAAACAAACAAACATATGCATCAGGTTCATATAATGGCTCTGGATTATCCTTATTAAGTTAATGAAGTAGATTGTAGTACTGATCTTTGCATTTTCAAAGGACTGCTAAACTCAGTGGTTTGGTACATATAGGTGTATTCTACAGAATGAGTATGTATGTCCTTAAGGTATGCAGTAAGCTGTACAGCAGTATTTTGTGCTTTATTTATGTTTTATAACAATGGAAACCTATACACCATACTTTTGAACAAAAAACTAAAATTGGATTTTTGGATTCCTGCTTTTGTTTACTGTTTCTCTCCATTAAAACTCCAAGAAATCACCTCAGCCTCTCTGCTTCTGCATATGGGTCCTCAACCTCAACCAAACCCTTACACTATCCATATGCAATGAAAAAAAATTAACAATGTCTTAACTAGAACTGATATAGTATTTTTTTACATGTGAACACTGTAATTGGCTCAACATGACAATGTCAACTGTGGTACTGAGCATTTTCCTAGTTCTCTATTGTTTAAATTGTACAAAACAAAATCCTTTTTTTACTGAAGCAAGAGGATTATGTGAGCATAAACGAGGCAACTCCTTCAAGCTATTTAAATTTTCACATACCCAGAAGTTCTGGGCGAGGAGGAGGAGTAGCAACAATCTTCCAGTCTGACTTACTGATTACTCCCAAAACAGTTAATACCTACAACTCTTTTGAACATTTAACCCTTAATTTCCCTCATCCAAATTTCAAGGCAAGAAAACCTCTTCTTTTTGTAACTTTGTATCGTCCGCCAGGTCCTTACTCTGAATTTTTAGATGAGTTTTCAGAGTTCCTTTCTGATTTGGTATTAAATACTGACAGGGTCATCATAGTGGGAGATTTTAACATCCATGCTGACATTAAAGGCGATAGCTTAAGGGCAGCCTTTAATGCTATCTTAGACACTATTGGCTTTGTTCAAAATGTGAATAGTCCCACACATTCTCATCTTCATACTTTGGATCTTGTGCTGACATACGGCATAGAATGTGAAGAAATAACAGTATTTCCTCACAACCCTGTCCTCTCTGACCACTTTCTAATAACCTTCAGGATTACTTTAACAGAGTTCTCCTCCCCCAAAAGAAGGTTCAATTTTAGTAGATCTTTATCAGATAGTGCAGTTATAAATTTTAAAGAAGCGGCTTCACTTTCTCTCTCCTCTGTGTCGCTGAGCAGTGCTGCAGAGTGCAAAAGTATAGCTTATTCCCCTTCACAGGTTGATGATTTTGTTGATGGGGTTGCTAGTTCTCTGCGTACTGCCTTAGACAACGCAGCTCCTTTGAAAATGAAAACCGTTAAAAATAGAAAGCTTGCTCCTTGGTTTAATGCAGAGCTGCGTACTTTGAAGCAAAATGCTAGGAAACTGGAGAGAAAATATCGCTCCACAGGCCTGCAGGAGTCCTTCCTAGTCTGGAAAAATGGTTTACTGCTGTATAAGAGGACTCTTTGTAAAGCAAGAGCAGCATACTTCTCCTCATTAATAGAGGAGAATAAGAATAATCCTAGATTTCTTTTTAATACAGTTGCCAAACTCACCCAGAGCCATAGCTCTGTTGAACCGTCCATTCCACCTGCTCTTAACAGCAATGATTTTATGGGATTCTTTATAAATAAGATTGATCTTATTAAAAATAAGGTCATAAGCACTCCTCTATCCGCGATTGTACCTGAGGTAGTCATGGAATCTGAACCGGGTTTAGACTGCTTTGATCCAGTTGAACTTTCTGAATTAGCAAAATTATTGTCTTCATCTAGGCCTTCAACTTGTATGTTAGATCCAGTTCCAACCAGGTTATTTAAGGAGGTATTCCCTTTGATCTCCTCCTCCATTTTAGATGTGATTAATCTATCTCTGTTACAGGGATATGTACCTAAAGCTTTTAAGGTTGCTGTAATTAAACCTCTGCTTAAGAAACCGTCTCTTGACCCAGATGACTTGGTTAATTATAGACCTATATCCAATCTTCCTTTCTTATCCAAAATTCTTGAGAAAGTAGTTGCCAAACAAGTTTGCGATCACTTACACCATACTGAACTTTTTGAAGAGTTGTAGTCTGGCTTTAGAGCTCATCATAGCACTGAAACAGCTCTGGTGAAAGTCACTAATGATATTCTCATGGCCTCAGATAATGGACTTGTATCTGTGCTCGTCCTGTTGGATCTTAGTGCTGCATTTGATACAGTTGACCATTATATTCTTTTAGAAAGACTTGAATATTTTGTTGGAATTAAAGGAACAGCACTAGACTGGTTTAAATCCTATCTATCTGATCGAATTCAGTTTGTTTATGTTAATGATAGATCTTCAACACACTCAAAGGTTACCTGTGGAGTACCACAGGGATCAGTGCTAGGACCAATTCTCTTTACTTTATACATGCTCCCAATTGGTAGAATTATTAGACAGCATGGGATTAATTTCCACTGTTATGCTGATGATACCCAGCTATATCTGTCTATAAATCCAGATGAAGCTAACCCATTACATAGATTACAAGCATGTCTTGAAGACATAAAAACCTGGATGACTCTTAACTTTCTGCTCCTGAATGCAGACAAAACAGAAGTTATAGTCTTTGGACCAGAGTCTCTGAAAAAGAAGCTGATTAGCCAGTCACTTCATTTGGATGGGATTAAACTGATTTCAGATAATAAAGTAAAAAATCTTGGTGTTATTTTTGATCAGGACCTGTCATTTAAATCCCAGATCAAAGAGGTTTCTAGAATTTCCTTCTTTCATCTGAGGAACATTGCAAAAATTAGAAATCTCCTGTCCAGGGGTGATGCTGAGAAACTAGTCCATGCATTTGTTACTTCAAGGCTGGACTATTGTAATTCTTTACTATCAGGAAGTCCACAAACTTTAGTTAAAAGCCTTCAGCTGATCCAAAATGCTGCAGCCAGAGTTCTGATGAAAATTAAAAAGAGAGATCATATCTCTCCTATCCTGGCTTCTCTTCATTGGCTTCCTGTTAAATCAAGAATAGAATTTAAAATCCTCCTTCTCACATATAAAGCCTTAAATGGCCAAGCTCCATCTTATATCAGAGATCTGATTGTTCCTTATGTTCCTAACAGAGCACTTCGCTCTCAATCTGCAGGTTTACTAGTGGTTCCTAGAATTTCTAAAAGTAGAATGGGAGGCAGATCTTTTAGTTATCAGGCTCCTCTCCTGTGGAACCAACTACCAGTTTTAGTCCGTGAGGCAGACACTCTGTCTACTTTTAAGACTAGGCTTAAAACTTTCCTTTTTGATAAAGCTTATAGTTAGGGTGGCTCAGGTTATCCTGAGCTCTCTCTCTATATTTATGCTGCTATAGGCTTAGACTTTTGGAGGATATAGGGACCCCCATTTCATCATTCTGCTTCATTCTCTCTCTGTTCTCCTATTCTGCAGAATCTGTTTGTTCAATCTCTAACGTTCTGCTCTCTCTGCTTTTCCTCAGAGTAGCTTTGCCTCGTCTGTTCCTGTTTGGCTGTGACGTCATCCAGGAAAGAAACATCAGCTGTGCTGCTTCCATCAACACCCTTGTTTGTAGATGTTGGAGATCGGCCTGTCTTCAGGTGTGGTCCTGTTTCTCTGGCCGTGGCTGGGTGGATGTGCTCTCTTCATCCTCTGGCATGGGAGCTGCCTTGGAGCTCGTCTGCCTGGCTGTGTGTTTCCTGGACGGGGCCGCCTTTTACAGCTGCTTGTATCTCTGCTTCTGTCTCCTTGAACCCCAGTCGGCCTTGGCAGATGGCCGCTCACACTGAGCCTGGTTCTGCTGGAGGTTTCTTCCTGTTAAAAGGGAGTTTTTCCTCTCCACTGTCGCTACAAGCATGCTTAGTGTGAGGGATTGTATTTGAGTCAATGAGTCAATGCAATCAACTGGTTTTCCTTAGATAGAAAACTTTGTATCAATTTGACTGTATGATCTGGTTGAACTGTAAAGTGGCTTGAGATGACATGTGTTGTGAATTTGGCGCTATATAAATAAACTGAATTGAATTGAATTGAAGCTGAGGGAAATATATCGAATGAATAACAGCAATGTTTAACTTTTTTTCAGTATGTTGCGTAACCATGAATACAAAAAAATAAAATGGCTAACCTTCTTTTATTGTCAGTTAGAGTGATCCCTTGTGAGGACACTTTGAAGTGGACCACCGTTGGTACTGGTCGTGTATTCAGAGCCATTGTGCACTTGATAGCCTTGGAAACAGCCTCTGGCCCCGTCAATGACTCAGTTTCCACTGAATTTAGGTAGAGCACGTTGCATGCTAAAATTATTGTTAAATACAAAATATATTACAGATCTGTATGAGGTCAGACATAATTCTAGTGCATTTTCAGTTGTTTAAGCTTTTACTCCTATGGTCAATGTTGTACCTGCTCCTTGTTTAAGGAGGTCAGCAGCTGTACTTGTATTTGTGGCACTTTGCATCTCCTGGAGCTCACCAACCAAATCTGAAATACGACAGACTTTAGTTACTTTACAAATTACCAAAATATGTTTCTGCATCCTTAATAAATTAATTCAACAAGTTTGGATCTTGAAAAAGAACCAAAAAAAAAATCATCTCTACCTTTGTCTGGGATACGGAGGGCACACGGCAGAGAGATAGGAGTTATTGAATGTTGGTAAACTAGAGCAGATAAACTTCCTGAGACAAAGGCAGAGGAACAAAGGAAGCAAACAGATTACACAACTATGAAAGATGTGAACGGATTAAAACCTAATCAGCTTTGTGTGTCACAAATCACAGAATATGTGACGTAGATTATAGTTAGATGTAGAAAATAACTGACCGAAGTAGGACTCGTTCTGACAGCCCTTGATCTTCACTCCCCGTGGCCCTGTCTCGATGAGGAAGTGTCTTACCAGCTGTTCCAGAGGGTCCCCTGGGAAACAGGAAGAAAAGAGGAAAAAACAAGATGCTCTTTCAGCCTGTCATGTGTGTATTCACTAGTTAGATCTACGTCAGACCTGTCTGATACGTTGCTAGGGACCAGAAGAAACGAACCGACAAAAACAGCCAATGTAACTTAAAGTAATCATAAATAAATTAGATGTTCTTTTAACATCCCTTCTCCTCGTACTTTACGTAGGTACATGTCTATCCATGCATCTGGTATGTTCTGCTAGGAGAGGGGTCCAAGGTGTTTTCAGGAGGTTATTTGTCCACACAGGATCTTCCTATCGTGGGACGTATCTGAACACCTCCAAAGGGAGGTACCTTGGATTCATTCTAAAATTAGATGCTTCAATCTCCTCAACTGACTCTTTTCTATGCAGTCTCTACTTAAATTATAGAAAATAATAGAATAGAATAGAATAGAATAGAATAGGATAGAAAATCCCTTCATTGCCCCACAATAGCGGAATTGTGGTGTTAAAGCAGCAGCAAAAGGTTAAAGCAAAAGTTGTTACACAATGTGGACCTTAGAAAAGTGTATAAAAATAACACAATGAGTTAAGAAAATTATCAAATAAAATGCTGTAATGTATAGTGTTTTTACAATATCAATACTCTGTATCTGGGGAATAAATAATCAATAAACAGCTGTGGATATTTTTACAGTAATGGATATGTTAAAATAGCAGAAACACCAGAGATGTGCAAAAATGACAGAAGCATGTTATTTAATGTGGTCAGAAATTTCAGATTTCACTTACCGGTACTTCATATGATGATTTATGCTATTTACTCACTAAAAAGTTTTTTCCCTCAGTCTGTATCACTTGCAAGGCCACACAATACCTGAGTGAGGGGTGTTTGCAGACAAGACATACTTCTTCCCATAACAAGCCAGATTCTTTCTCAATCCATCGATCTCTGCTTATTTAACTGGAGTGAATAGTTGAATACTTTTTTCCTGCTATATTCAACTAAGACAGAAATTGTGCAAAAATCTGCATGAATGTAACAACTTATTGAGGTTGTTGGGAACAGTGATGGTTATAAAGTCTTATAGCTTCTGGGAGGAAGGATCTGTGATAACACTCCCTGGTGCATTTAGGGTGCAGCACTTGGTCACTGTAGGAGCTTTCCAGTTCAGCAAAAACTTCATTCATGGGGTCTCATAAATGAGGGAACTCAATCAAGTTCCCTCTTGAATGTGAAAACTCTTTCACCCATCTCTAAGACTGAGTCCAGAAACCCCTACACAGGAATTGAATCAATCGTCTATGAAATTTTGATAAAGGACTTTCTCAGCATAGGCCGTTTGCAGCCGAATTCAACCATGGTCTGGATTAACGCTGCAGAGACTGCCGCTGTAGCCATTCAAGGCTCAGTTTAGGGTCCTGGATTTGGTTCACAACCAGCAGACCGTGCTGGCACAGTTACAATAACAGTTTATTCAGACCTTAGAGCCATTGGCTTAGAGTTTGAAGGGTAACTGACCCAGCGTACCTAAAGCAGGAAGATAGGATGTGATATAAGGGGGGCACATTGGATAGAAAAAGAAGAAAATGAAAAAACTAATTCCCTTTTACAGATTTCTTTGTAAATCCTTGTTTTCAACCAAAATAATTATGATTTAAAGAATGACGTTCTGACCTCTGACAGAAGAAAACCTCCTTCTTGTAACCCGTTATTCAGGAACTGTTCTTCACTGTTACTCAAATGGGAGAGGACCCTTAAACACTGCCGTGTTGAGAGTGGAGTGTAAGTGTTCATGTACAACCTTATTAATGTAGAGGCATGAGTAAAAAATGTGAAGTGAAGTTTGGGCATGTTCATTTATAGGTAGTTGCATCTAAGAGCATGTATGTTCAGGTATTAGCAGAAGGAACAAAAATCCTCTGCCAAAAATGCCCCTATCGAAAAAACGTGAGGGACACAGTTCCAAGACCTCTCACGCTCTACTAAGCACATGTAGAACGGACTTTAAAAGGAGGTGTAATAAATACCTTTGTTTCCAGTAATGTTGGCATTAGGAGGAGGAGTGGCCACCTTAAGAGCCAGGCCATAAGCACCGTGGAATGAGTTACTGTCTCTGATGAGAAATGCCCCTGGCTCCTTGTCCTTCAGCGCAGCAATGGCTACAACAGAAGAGGCAAATAAATAACTTTTCAACTTTGAAGTTACTAGAGTACATATAGGATCTTTGAAAATGATAAATGTAAACATTTATGGATTTGTTCTCAGTCCTAAAATCCTCACCTTGGTCTCTGGAGATGCCTGGTTTGTACCAGTATTTGGAGCTGTCCTGAACAAACCTAGAATTCACCCTTGTTTCTGTCTCTTCGGTGTGACTCTGTTGTGCAGATTCCATTCTGTGCTCTCCGACAACAGGGGCGAAAGTAACATGGTGAATTGGTGAAGGACACGAGGGAGCCTGGAGTAAACCAGTATGTCCATTCGGTGATACTACTGCAGAGGAAAATCGTTTCTTCTCTGGCAGCGGTGGTTGGATGGTGGGGATCGTTACCGCAGTGTAGCCAGTGTAGGGCACATGAGGAACGTTTAATAAGGAGTAGTAGTAGGAGGCTAGGGGAAAGGTGGGTGTATGGTATCCATCTGGCACAGGTGAAGGAGGTTTTGTGTCTGTTGAGATGTCACGATCTGGGATAAGTCTTTGTCCAGTTGTGTCTTTATCAGACATGGAGTGTTGAGGAGAAGACTGTTTATCCGGAGAGCCAGTAGGAGTATGAGGGGAAGAGGTGGAAGAACTACGAGAGGGATTCATGTTCCCACCTGTATTGCATTCCGATGCTACATTGATAGGAAGGGTGGTCCCATTGAGCTGAACTTGAACCTGAGGGATAATGACGGTGGCATAGTTTGAAACTGTTGATTTGGTCTTTTGATCCGAACTTTTGATCTCAGCTGCTCCAAGTTCACTTTCACCTTTCAGAAGGGATTCTCCTGGTGGCTTTGAGGGGTTTGCAGATATTGTTAAATTCTGGGTTTGTTTCTCTGATGGAGTTAGTGTAACAGATTGGCCTGTATTTTTATTGGAGTCCAAATGAGTCACAGTTTCTTGGCTCTGAACAGGGCTATCAGCAATTGCACTAATAAGAAATTAAACACCAGGAATAATAAGTATTTCTTTATATATTGAAATGTTGAAACATTACTAGTGTAGACAAAATAAAAAATGGGTTACCAACCTGTCCTCTGTGTGAGTTGGGCTGCTGCTGCCAATAACTGTGTAGTCGTGATCAGAGTCCGCTCCAGGGGTGTTTGACTCACGACAGACGTCTAGTTTACTCTCTGAGCCTTGACATATGTCATCTTCTGCAACAGTTTTATCCTTTTCCACTTTGACAGGAGAGAAGTGGTGAAAGAAAATAAAAGTAGGAAAGAGACAATAAATCATAATGCAAGTTCTTTTCAATGGAAATAAAGCAAAATTCTAAATATAAAGGTTTACCTTTGTGTTGCTCTGTGTGTGGCTGGTCCCTGGATCCTGAAGGGATATCAGGCAGGCGTCCCCCTCCAGGAGATGGGCTACTGGCTGGCAAAGGTGATGCTGATCCAGAGTGATAGCCTGAGGCATATCCCCGGCTATCAGATGGAGAGGACTGAAAGGGAGAGCAGGGGCACGAGTGTCGGGGCTGCAGAGGGGTGTGGTACCCGCTGCTTACTCCATCCCTTATATCCATCAATGACTGAGGAATGGGGTGATTTTGATGCTGTGCATAAGCAAATCTAGGCTTCTCTGGGTTTGAAACCTGATCCACAGCAGAGTGGAAGAGATGAAAAGCTGGCAGTGGTGATTTACACTGCCAGAGTTCTGCCTGTCTCGTCATTTCCCATGGCTTCTCTGTTTCCCAAAGGGGGGGTATCTCTCTTGACCGCTGACCCCCAGTTCCTTGTGACCAGTGTGGGTTTTCAGCTTGGTCTGATTGCATTTGTTGGAAGACTTTAACTGAGTTTGATTGGTGTTCTCGTCTCCTGGAGCAGTCCTGACAATGGCAAAAAGAAGAAGATGAAGGGGAACTGATGAAAAGCTCTCTGTAAGGGTTTCCAGGCTGTGGTGGGAAGGAAGGATGAGACCCTAATCCATGGCTGGGGTAAAGCAAGAGGTGACATTCTTCTCCAGGATAGCATCTGTTTGAGGCTGGCAGTGTATGATTGTGAGGAAGGGTGTGTTCTGGGGTTGGATAAGGGTAGCATGGCCTGTTGATGCAGGGCAGCGAGGGAGGATGAATCGGACGGTCCCATGTTAATTCAGCAACAGGATCTGCACTATGGCGATGGCAGAGCTCCCTAATAGCTGAATGGGGAGGAGGAGACATAGATTTGGACAGCAAAGCTGGCAGCGTTTGGCTTTTCGGATGCTTTTTCATGCTGCTGCAATGTCTAAGCGACCGACCATCAGAAAGACAGGGGTCCCTTTCCCTCTCCCATTCTGCATCACTACATTTCTGAACTGCTCGATCACAACAGGAACGCTCTCGTCTCACAACCCCTGGACTTGAAGGATCTCCGTCATCCAAAATCGCAGTCTCTCTGTCTTTCGCTTTGTCTCTCCTCTTCTCTTGCGTCCGTTCTCCCATTTCTCCTCTCCTCAAGGTGCAGTCAGGTTTTTCTTTTTCAGAGCAGCTAATTGACATCGATGTTTCGCTCAGCTTATCTGAAGAGACCACAGAGCTTCTTGGGCTACAGTTGAAGGTGAAGGGTTGCGGTTTGGAGGCAAATTGGGGTTTTACAGTTGGGCTACTGGTAAGGCATCCATTGGGCGAAGCAGCTGAGGATGTTGCACCTGGTCCACGTCGCTTCCTCACCTGGGCATACAAGCTGCCATCTAGTGGGCCTCTTGTGTGAGCGATATCTGATTGAAGGGGGAGAAGAAAAAGAAAACCAATGTAATGTTTTATATTTTTACACAAAGCTTTAAGTCTATCCCATTGTGAATGCATCTCACTTTCCATGCTGTCTTCATGGTGTAGATTGAAGTTTTCATAGGAATCCCATTTAACAACAGGGTCTGAGGTTTTGTAGTCTACTTTGACAGAAGAGTCATTTTTTCTGTATTCTCGACCTTATAAAGCAGATTTATGAAAATATGAAACACATAGGCACGATTCATTATACAAACAGGCACAAAAAGCCAAACAGAAAGATGAAATACCTTTGAGTTTTTCTGGACTGTTGGCGAAGATGAACTCCACTGTAGCGTCTGGAGGGAATCTGTCATCTACAGAAAAAAGATGAGCATCAAGGCAGTTATTAAAATATCTAGAGCATAACCACAGAGACCAAGGAAAAAAAAATAAAACACCAACACAAAGGTGGGATCTATGAAGCAGAAAAAACAAAGTTGATAAATAAAAAAATTGTTTCTTTTATACTATTTAAAATAGAAACAAGAAGAGCAGAACGGAAGAGAAAGCGTTTGGTGAACAGAGCAGAGAACATAAAAGAGCCCGATCGTCTTTTTTTTTCTTTCTCACAGTGTGTTTGTATAAATCATACTGTATGCGTCAGCATGTAACACTGAGGGAGATTACTCTGAGACTGCAATTCACAGAGCCATGTGCAAACATCTGTGTCATCTAACCTGACACTGTCCTTTGGTATTTGACTTTAAAGCAAGCCCCAAGTCTAGAATGGTAAGAGGATAAACAGTGTCTTGATTAAAGGAGCAACAGAAATGCAAGTTAGGAGGTCTCCTATTTACCATGCCATTATATACATATATAGATACACTATATTGCCAAAAGTATTTGCTCACCCATCCAAATTATTGGAATCAGGTGTTCCAATCACTTCCATGGCCACAGGTGTATAAATTCAAGCACCTAGGCATGCAGACTGTTTTTACAAACATTTGTGAAAGAATGGGTCGCTCTCAGGAGCTCAGTGAATTCCAGCGTGGAACTGTGATAGGATGCCACCTGTGCAACAAATCCAGTCGTGAAATTTCCTCGCTCCTAAATATTCCACAGTCAACTGTCAGCTGTATTATAAGAAAATGGAAGTGTTTGGGAACGACAGCAACTCAGCCACGAAGTGGTAGGCCACGTAAACTGACGGAGCGGGGTCAGCGGATGCTGACGCGCATAGTGCGAAGAGGTCGCCAACTTTCTGCAGAGTCAATCACTACAGACCTCCAAACTTCATGTAGCTCAAGAACAGTGCGCAGAGAGCTTCATGGAATGGGTTTCCATGGGCGAGCAGCTGCATCCAAGCCATACATCACCAAGTGCAATGCAAAGCGTCGGATGCGGTGGTGTAAAGCACGCCGCCACTGGACTCTAGAGCAGTGGAGACGCGTTCTCTGGAGTGACGAATCGCGCTTCTCCATCTGGCAATCTGATGGACGGGTCTGGGTTTGGCGGTTGCCAGGAGAACGGTACTTGTCTGACTGCATTGTGCCAAGTGTAAAGTTTGGTGGAGGGGGGATTATGGTGTGGGGTTGTTTTTCAGGAGCTGGGCTTGGCCCCTTAGTTCCAGTGAAAGGAACTCTGAATGCTTCAGCATACCAAGACATTTTGGACAATTCCATGCTCCCAACTTTGTGGGAACAGTTTGGAGCTGGCCCCTTCCTCTTCCAACATGACTGTGCACCAGTGCACAAAGCAAGGTCCATAAAGACATGGATGACAGAGTCTGGTGTGGATGAACTTGACTGGCCTGCACAGAGTCCTGACCTCAACCCGATAGAACACCTTTGGGATGAATTAGAGCGGAGACTGAGAGCCAGGCCTTCTCGTCCAACATCAGTGTGCGACCTCACAAATGCGCTTCTGGAAGAATGGTCAAAAATTCCCATAAACACACTCCTAAACCTTGTGGACAGCCTTCCCAGAAGAGTTGAAGCTGTTCTAGCTGCAAAGGGTGGACCGACGTCATATTGAACCCTATGGATTAGGAACGGGATGTCACTTAAGCTCATATGTGAGTCAAGGCAGGTGAGCAAATACTTTTGGCAATATAGTGTATATACATATAAGTGCTGTGGAGCTTTACATTTTCTTAGCATGCACCAGTTATCCACAAAAATACTGTTACTGGGTTTTTTTTTTACTCTAAGATACATTTCTTAAACTCTATTCTCTGAGCAGCAGCTTTCTACCTGAGCAGGCCAGGTCTAGTTCAGTTTTTCCAAACCACAGCTGGGCTCCATGAACTGTGCAGGTGTGGAACTGGACTCTGAACACAACCTCCCTCTCTGCTGCTCTGCTCCGCCGGTGGTAGCATTTCACCTAGAGAGAAAATAAGGTTTATTTCAAATGGTATCGCTTAAATATTAACCACATTCAAATGTAGACAGTTTACCAAAAAATGCTCTCAAGTAAAAGTAGCATCTATTCAGCATATTTCTACCAGAGTAAAAAAGTCAAAGTCAAAAGTAGCCACCAAAGAAATGACTAAGGTAAAACTAAAAACGATAAAAAGGCTTCCAAACATTTAGTAACTGTTTTAATATTTATATTGATGAAAATCAGACAGACAACAATATAAAGTTATGTGAATATTCCTGTGATTTTAAAGACTAAAAGAAAGCAATGAATACAAATAAATAAAATATTTCTCTTCCTACAGTAAATCTTTAAGAAATTGATTTCTTAAAGATCATAAAGTATATGTTTATCATTCTGCTTCATTGTATCTCTATTCTCCCACTCTGCAGAATCTGTTAGTTCAATCTCTAATGTTATGCTCTCTCTGCTTTTTCAAATAGTAGCTCATCCGGTCTATTCCTGTTTGGCTGTGACATCATCCAGGAAAGAAATATAAGCTGTGCTGCTGCCATCAACACCATTGTTTATATATGTTGGAGATCTGCCTGTTTTTCAGTGTAGTCCCGTTTTTCTGACTGTGACTGACTGCATGTGCTCTCTTCATCCTCTGACATGGGAGCTGGCTCGGAGCTTGTCCGCCTGGCTGTGTGTTTCCTGCCTTTTACAGTCGTGTTTTGTATCTCTGCATCTGTCTCCTTGAACCCCAGTCGGCCTCAGCAGATGGCCGCTCACACTGAGCCTGGTTCTGCTGGAGGTTTCTTCCTGTTAAAAGGGAGTTTTTCCTCTCCACTGTCGCTACAAGCATGCTTAGTCTGAGGGATTGCCTTCGAGTCATTGCGTTGATGCAGTCAACTGGTTTTCCTTAGATAGAAAACTTTGAATCAATTTGACTGTATGATCTGCTTGAATTTTAAATTGTCTTGAGATGTGTTGTGAAACTGGGCTATATAAATAAATTGAACTGAATTGAATATATGACAGAACAGCCTAAACTACCTCCACTGACAATAAATACTTTCTCTATATATTACCTTGACATTCATGTCATAGACATCTAAGCAGGTTAAAATAACATTAAAGAACACAGATTGTGTACAAAAGAGCATGGTCATTTAAGTGAGACTCAAAATATCTGTGTCTGCTGAATTTCACGTAAAAATTTTCCTTTTCTGTTTTTCCGTAAAGTTACTCACAGTTGGTAGAGTAGCCAAAGATTCTACTCTGGTTAGAGATGCAATATTTCAAGATAATAGTAAAAGTAAAAAGAACAGAGCAGTGAAAGTACTCCTAAAAGTAAATTTTTATCATAAAGTTACACTGGTAAATGTAACTGAGTAAATGTATGTAGTTAATCCCCACCTCTGACCATATTAGTGTTTCCAATTGGTTTGAGTATTGATTTTGGTAGATATAGAACAGTTTGTTTCATTTATTCACTGATGAGAGGTGCTAAACTGAACAAAATCCAAAAATCAGTTGGTTTATCTCCAAAGACTAATCCAGTCTTAGAAGCTGCAGGTTATTGGTACACATTCTAGTGTTATGCTGTACAAACCTTTTAGGGAAGGCTTTGTCATAGTGATCAAGACAACACAATGTATATTTGCAGACTGAAAGAACACCAAGAGTTGGTTCAATACTTTGAAGGATTCATTTTCTTTACTTAAATCAATTACTGCTCTAAACCTTTTAAAGGACTAGTACACCCAAAACATGATTAGCCTTCATTTTCTACTCACCCCCGTGCTGAACAACACTCTGGAGTACTTTTTTGATATCTCAAATGCATCTGGAGATCTGGGAGGCTTCTTGCTGTCTGCTGACATTCAAATAATGGAAGTCTATGGCGCCCGAGGCAGAAAGGTCCATAAAAGTCCACAAAAAACGTGTCAATATTCCTCCATACTGCTCGTCCAATATATTCCAAGTGTCCTGAGTGGGTAGCATCCAGAATTTACTCGAAACGAAGTCATTTAGAATGTTTTTAGAGCATAAACAGTAGTGTATAGGATTTCCTAAAAGCACGTTCACGAGTCTACGGAAACCGCGGCAGACCAAACCAGATGAAAGTGCGCATTCAGCTTGGCAAAGAACTCATGCTCTTCCTCAGCACTGAAGTCCTCAGACATTTTTCTTTCGTTGTTTCTTTCTTTGCACAGGTAAACAGCACATTTCTTCTTCTACGCTTGCATTATCGGCAGAGCAGAAGCTGAATGCGCACTTTCATCTGGTTTGGTCTGCTGCGGTTTCCGTAGACTCGTGAACGCGCTTTTAGGAAATCCTATACACTACTGTTTAGGCTCTAAAACATTCTAAATGACTTTGTTTCGAGTAAATTCTGGATAGTACCCCCTCAGGACACTTGGAATACATTGGACGAGCAGTATGGAGGAATATTGACACGTTTTTTGTGGACTTTTATGGACCTTTCTGCCTCGGGCGCCATAGACTTCCATTATTTGAATGTCAGCAGACAGCAAGAAGCCTCCCAGATCTCCAGATGCATTTGAGATATCAAAAAAGTACTCCAGAGTGTTGTTCAGCATGGGGGTGAGTAGAAAATGAAGGCTAATCATGTTTTGGGTGTACTATTCCTTTAAGGCATTTCCTTGAAATAGTTTTGCATATCTAAAACTGCAGGGTGGATATACAATGATCATGATTTATAGTGCTGTAGATTCTCAATTGAACTCAGGTCTGGACTTTGACTGGGCCATTATAAAAAACTTTTTCATCTAATTTATTTAATTGCCACTTTGGCTTTATTGTTGTTATTATTATGTTTTGCTCATCTGCCGGGTGAACCTCCTCTCTAGAATCTGGTATTCTGCAGCCTGAAAAGCTTCAGTAATTTAGCTCTGAGGATTCTCCTTACCCATCCTCACCAATGCTCAGGGAGATATGAATAGTTAATTTTTATTATCATTACAGTGTCTTCTGCCCAGAGCACCTTCTTCAACAAATTAGCTTTGTTTCTGACATCACATGCAGGTAATTTAAAATGTATGTTTTAATGGCCTTCTATGGGATATAGGTAAACTATTTAGCAAAGACATGTATATTACATTGTAATAAACAAGATTTGAAGAGCTTAGAGGGGTAATGGTGGCTAAATATGAAGCCCTGCACAGAAAAATGATTTATTTTTTTCATTTCTTTTTGTAAAACCTTGGATTAAAAATGGGGATTTTCTTTAAGTTTTATAGATATTCACCTATCTTTGTTTTTTCATATAAAATCCAAATTAGATTATTTGAAGGTTGCATTTGTAACATAAAAGTTAAAAAAGAAGAAGAAAAAAAAAAGAATAGCTCAAGGGGTGTATATACATTTGTAAAAAAAAAAATCACATTTATATTTAATTGCAAGTGGGGTTTTATCTCACCATAATGTCACCCTTTAATAACAGAGCTGGCTCCATAGTTACACACAATTTTCTTGCCCGGGAGCTCTGAGGATCACTGTAAAAAGAATTTAAAAAAATGGTACATTTGCTTGAGAATAACATAAAAAAGGAAGAGACAGATTTAGGCAGGATGTAAACACTGTCTCCTTTAATGTAAGCACAGACCAGGCTACACTTAAACACAGACAGCAAGAAGTAGAGTCAAAATCTATCAGAGGGACTCATTGAAAAAAAAGGTTCCACCCACAGGAGGTGAGAGCACATAGTGATTCAAGCAGACAAGTGGACGATACTTACTACACTCCTGAGGTATAAATGAGCTGTAAGGACTGGTAGATTTTCAGGAAAGGATAAAAACCTGCAAGAAAAGTGATAGTTTGTTGGTGAATTCTTAACTTTGTTTTACAATAAAAAATAAAAACACAATTAGTTATTGCTTTATCCTCATAATTAGTTGAAAACCCTGGAAGAGTAAATGCTGACCTCCTCCTGATTGGAAATTTGGTAATGAAGGAACAAGGATCTGATGAAGGAACAAAGGACTGCTGTTCATTTTGATGGTCCCCGACAGCAAACCGCTGAAATAATAGATGTACCTGTTCAAAAAACAAGAACTGGTGTAAGATGAGAGAGCAAATGAGATTCAGGAGGACATATCTGCTGCAGAGAATCAGGAATCCCAGACCTGCTCTGAGAGGGATGCAGAGAGGAGGAGATTTTGTCTTCGCAAAACTTCCTCATGGCTAACGTGGTGAGAGCCTGGTCTGCTCTGAGGGCACAAGAATAATAACTGGTTACAACTGAGGTGTGCAGATAAAAAAATACCATTCATGGTTTGTTTTTCCAAATGGTTTATAGAAGAGGAAATATTTGCTCAATACAGAGTAATATTGGGCGATCTGTTCTCAGGATGGATGCTTGCATCTCAAATATGTACCATAATGCCTCTTAAGCACATAAAGTAGCAAATTACCCAGCTGAAATCTTGCTGTAGTGCATGTAGGCCGCCACTATGACCCCCGTCTTTCCTTTGTGACCCTGTGAGAGCCATAACAGTAATAAACAATGCGTTAGATTCCTGCTTTTCTTCCATCTTTACAGCAATCAAACAGTTGTGTGTTTGTGCCGAACAAACTTTGCAGTGGAGAACGACCACGTTGTGAGGGTCAGAAGTCAGCCACATCTCCATGGCTTTACAAATGGCACAGATCCTGTCCAGTGGAGGGGCGTGGAGATCAGGCCAGCCATAATCTTGCACCTGGAAAGCAGAGGAGAGCTGATGCTTAATTTTCTGTAATGGGGTCAATCGTGGCATAACTATCTAATTAGGGGAGATAAATCTAAATAAAAAAGTGAGTTGCAATAATATTCCTTATGCTTTGAAGCCTTTTTTAAGGTCAGGTTGCAAAAACAAAAATTTGAAATGCTTTAGTTAGATTTTAGTGTGTGATTTTGAAAATGAAAGAACAATTTTTCATGGTGTAATTTATCTTAAAGGATTACAGTAGAAATACTTTTGCTTTTTTTTCTCGCAAACCAGCCAAAGCTTCATCAGACTGGGGGTTTCTGAAACTTACAGGTTTGCCGCACTTTTAAGATTCCTCATGATTTAAGATTTTTGGGAATTTTAATTCCCAAAAATGTGTTCTGGAGATGATTTTACAAAGAAAAGAACAACTTGTTGAACAAAACCCTATAAGAACTACAATGTGTAATTTTCATTCTTGATCAATAAAGTATTTAATTAAAATTAATCAATTTTCCTTTTGCAGAAAACTATGCAGTACTTTATGTTGTTTTATCCCATCTAATCCATCAGCAATGCCCCCCATGTTTAGGCAGTAAATACTCTTACCTTTGAGTTAAGCCTGGTGATGTCATGTCTTTTTTCTGATAAATTCAGAAGCTAGATGGAGCAAAAGGAAGGAAGAATATCAGCCACATGCAGGTCTTTGTTCTTAATGTATGTGTTTCAGTTATTTAAACTCACCAGAAACTTGTCCTGGTGCTTAGATTTGAGCATGGAGGCCACCTCCTGCAGGTTTCTACGATAGCGCTGCTCCTCCAGGTCTGGCACAAAGAAGACAGAGATGATCCGCTCTGTGATGTAGGTGAGGTCGAAGTCATAGTGTCCTTCCATCACATGTTCCATCACTTCTTCTACGCTTTTCCTTCCGGACAGAGCAAACATACATTATTTGATCACTTCTTGATTCCATAATGACATTTAAAATGTAGATTTCTTAATTAATTTAATGTTTTTAACAAGCAAGACAGATCTCCCATACAGTGAATTCTAAATTATGAATTGGATTAATAAAACTGCCTGAATCTGCAAAAGAAAATGATGTGCACTGTGGAAAACAATGGTGCTATAATCCTGGCCATCAGTCCCTGTTTTTAAGATGGATATATTCTATACGTATACAGATTTTTTTCTTAGACATTTAAAGTATTTGGAAAAGCTGCAGAAATAATTACTCCAAAGACCAGTAAGTTTCCAGTCAAAACCTTTCAGACAAATGCTAGAAAGCAAAGGGGATCTAAGCAAAAACCCCAAATTCACATTAGAGAGAAAAATGTGCTTATTGTAAAATAGCCCAACCCCAAAGTAGAATCAAATGTGATGCAAAGCTTAGAGTCTAATGTGGTCAACAGATGACATGTTATAATCTGACTGACTTTAGGAACATTTTAAGGTAGAATGTCAGATGTAGATGAACTACAATTTAAGTAAACTGAATATTTGAAATACGTCAAATGATTGTATTTGTGGACAGTTTAAAGCTATCCACATTTATTTAACTGGGCTAATGCACCTTTTTTATTTTTCTGTGAATGGAATTGTTTGGTTTTTTTAATGAAGTTGCTCAGAATGGCAGGTAAATACAAAGTATTGGACTGACACACTGTTTAAAAAGTCAATCTACATTTGTTTTCCTGAAAAGAAAAAATATTGGGATGTCCTGGTACACCGTTTTCTTTTCCGATACAATACACTGATTCAATAACACAGCTTTGAGGATGACCCATTCCGATATTGATGTTGGAAGCAGGCTGATATATTCCGATAGTCATTGTCTGTCTGATATCGGACTGGTTTCTGATTTCATCAGCGGATTGCGACGTCCCTTAAAAAAATACCCTCTCTTGTCCGCCTGCACATTAAGCTAATCTTATGCTCTTTGTTACCTTGGCAAGGAGCTTCTCTTCTTTTGAGATGTTGACTTTGTGGAGCTGTGCTGAGAAAATAAACAGAGAGGAGCTGAACAGTGCTGCTACGAAGCTCAATTAAACACAACAAAACATCCAAATTGACACAAACTTACCAGATCTGGCACTGGGGTGCAGGTGGTGAACACCTGAAAGGGAAGACAGCATATGGTTAGATTTAGCGGCATTTAGATTAACAAATGCACTCATTCCCACCAACTGGAAATAAATTAGCTCATATCTCGTCATTTGTTTGATTTAACGCTCTTGGTTCTACTCCAGCAGAGCAGATAAACAGCAAACAACTGAGGGATGAGAAAGGAAGGAAATGGAGAGCTGATGGAGAGGATAGTAAAACTCATTCCTCATCTGTCATCTCCGGCAGATGGCTGCAAGAAGCTTTGGCACAAACGTTTAAATGATGATAGAAAATGTTGACAAACCCCCAATCAGGAGATAAATGTACAAATGCAGAGAAATGTTGATCAACTCTAAGAAACAGCTGCAAACATTACAATGATTTTTCCAAGACTATTATCACCTTTTATCTTCACTTTGTAAATATTTGTCAAACAGGATGAACGAGTAGAGTTCGGTTAAGGTATCCCAAGTTTAATATTAATGCTATGTTTTGCTTCAGCCTATTAAAAATATGGTATATTTTATTACTGGGGGAAGGCAGTAAACATGTTATGCAGTCCTTGTACATTTCTGCTGACTCAGCAATACTTTGCACATAAGGCAAACACACACACAGAAGCTGGGGCCATTTATATAGATAACAACAATAGCAAAACACTCCATGTTGCAGCCTTTATAATTCTGTCAATATAACAGTACTTAAAGGAATAGTACACCCAAAACATGATTAGCCTTCATTTTCTACTCACCCCCATGCTGAACAACACTCTGGAGTACTTTTTTGATATCTCAAATGCATCTGGAGATCTGGGAGGCTTCTTGCTGTCTGCTGACATTCAAATAATGGAGGTCTATGGTGACCGAGACAGAAAGGTCCATAAAAGTCCACAAAAAACGTGTCAATATTCCTCCATACTGCTCGTCCAATGTATTCCAAGTGTCCTGAGTGGGTAGCATCCAGAATTTACTCGAAACGAAGTCATTTAGAATGTTTTTAGAGCATAAACAGTAGTGTATAGGATTTCCTGAAAGCGCGCACCTGCGCGCTCACGACGCTACGGAAGCCGGCAGACCAAGCCAGATGAAAGTGCGCATTCAGCGTCTGCTCTGCCAATAATGCAAGCGTAGAAGAAGAAATGTGCTGTTTACCTGTGCAAAGAAAGAAACAACGAAAGAAAAATGTCTGAGGACTTCAGTGTTGAGGAAGAGCATGAGTTCTTTGCCGAACTGAATGCGCTGGTTTGGTCTGCCGGCTTCCGTAGCGTCGTGAGCGCGCATGTGCGCGCTTTCAGGAAATCCTATACACTACTGTTTATGCTCTAAAAACATTCTAAATGACTTCGTTTCGAGTAAATTCTGGATGCTACCCACTCAGGACACTTGGAATACATTGGATGAGCAGTATGGAGGAATATTGACACGTTTTTTGTGGACTTTTATGGACCTTTCTGTCTCGGGCACCATAGACCTCCATTATTTGAATGTCAGCAGACAGCAAGAAGCCTCCCAGATCTCCAGATGCATTTGAGATATCAAAAAAGTACTCCAGAGTGTTGTTCAGCATGGGGGTGAGTAGAAAATGAAGGCTAATCATGTTTTGGGTGTACTATTCCTTTAATTACTTAAAAAATGCTTAATATCCCTGTTTGGCTCTATGTTTGAGTCATTAAATGTGATGCCAAATCAGCATTTAAACTTTAACCCAGTCCACCCCAGCACTTATATGAGCAGCTAAGCCACAGTCAGAGGTTAAACTGTGGCAAACACTGACTGGTGTCCAAACAAAGTTTAACAGTGATGTACAGCTAAGGAAATTTAAAAAAACAACAACAGCGACTATTCTGCTTAAAAGTTGAAGCAAACCTATTGGTAATACAAGGCTGTATTGGCTAACTGGTCCTGCGATGAAGCGATTTGATTGGTTGGAGGAAATAAGATAAGGATTTGCTTAAAGATTGTACCTACAACCTTTTCTTTAAAACAAAAAATAATGGTGCGGAATAAAAGTATAGATTTTTGAGAGGGAAAAAAAGTATTAGACAAATAATTGTTTTATAAATTTTCCCCACAATGGGGAAAATGTGTCATTACAGCAGTAAAAGCTTACAGCAAAAGTGGTCACGCAAATGTGTATAAAAATAACAGAATGTTAAGACAGAGTTCAGAAAATAAACAAATAAAATACTGTACAGTATTTTTACAATATAAATACTCTGCATCTGTATAATAAAAAAATCAATATACAGCTGTGGACATTTTGCAGTAGCAGTTATGTGAAAATAGCTGCAACACCAGAGATGGGCAAAATGACAGCAGCATGTTATTTAACTAAGATAGAAACTGTGCAAAAATCTGCATGAATGTAACAACATATTGAGGTTGTTGGGAACATTGGTGGCTATAAAGTCTTACAGCTGCTGGGAGGAAGGATCTGTGATAAAGCGCCCTGGTGCATTTAAGGTGCAGCAGATAGGTATAGCAGGTTGAAGATTGTAGTAGCTCTGTAATAGAGCTGTAAAAATGCTTCTTCTCAGCGTTACATTGGCCAAGCTTGTGATCATGGTTGCCAACGTAAAGAAGCAAAGGGGCTCAGGATGCATGCAGAGGTTGCTGCTTTCCTTTAGAACAGGCAAGTTAAACGTATGCTAATGCTAACCAAAGCTCTGCGGGTAAAGTAGGCAGGTTTCAGGAGGTTTGTTGGGTTCTTCTGTAAGTCAGTATGAAGTGGTTCAGATCTGGTTTCAGATCTCGGCCAACACTGGAGCAGCTGCTAGGGGTTAGCTAATCCTTCTTTTCCCCCGTAAGGAATAACTAGTAAAAACCACCTCCGGTGTTTGGCAGATTTGGCAGGCGGCTGAAAAACAATCAAATTGAAGGTTGGAAGATAAGTGAATGCAATGGCTCTTTATAATACACATTCACGGGCTATAAAGTACACCTATTTATCTTGCTTTTGGCAAAAAAAACACAAAGATCCAATCACGTGGGATCAGTGCAATATGTTAAGTATATGTAGACATTCCATCACACTTATCCCAAGGGGGGTCACAAGGGGTGCTGGTGCCTATCTCCAGCTGTCTACGGGCAAGAGGTGGGGTACACCCTGAACAGGTCACCAGTTCATCACAGAAACAAACGGCCATTCACACACACCTAAGGAAAATTTAGAGAAGCCAGTTAACCTAACAGTCATGTTTTTGGACTGTGGGAGGAAGCCAGAGTACCAGGAGAGAACCAATGCATGCACAGGGAGAACATGCAGAAAGACCCCGGACTGGGATTTAAACTGAGAACCTTCTTGCTGCGCCACTGAGCAGCCAGATATGGCGAAAACGATTTGGTGAATTTCAAGCATCAGAATGTAAACTAAATATTTAGGTACCCATTTAATCGCCATGTTGGTGATGCAGACGTCCTGATGTGAGCTCAAAAGCTGATCTAAGTGGTACTGAGATTCTTCAATCCCCATCCAATAGATTAGCAGAGAATGGTCCACAAAATTAAACTGATCCGGTGAGCTGGAGATGTGCAAATTACAATGTTGATCTCAGAAGTCACAGAATGGTGAGACTGGTTAAAGATGATACGAGGCCAGCAGTAGCAGAAATTCCACAAAGCTATACGCCGAATACTGTCTCTGAACACACATAATATCAAGCAATGAAGAAAATGAGCTACAGCAACAGAAAACCACACTTGTCGCCAACAGAGGCTTTAATAAAATACATTGAATTAAGCCTAAAGTTCACAAGGGCTGATCAAAATTAGTCAATAGCTTGGAAAAATGTTAACTAGTCCAACAAATCTCAACCTCAGCTGCAACAGTCAGAATTTGGTGTAAACAAAATAAACGCATGCAGTCATACTGCCCTGTTTCAAAGCTTGTAAGCGAGTAAATGTGTCTTAATGTGACTATCTGCATAGATAAATAAAGAATTATGGTTGAGTCAGCTGATGGAAGAGCAATGGAGGCTGAGGAAGGTTGCAACACTGTTTTCTGTTCTCTCAACTATTTCAAGACAACTGGGCCAGCACCAACCATTTGATTATATATTAAAATGACATACGTATGTCTGCATGGAAAAGATTTATTACTGAACTCATAAGAAAACTTTTTTCCACAAGTTATAAATCCATCCAATAGTCGAGTTGTAAAAAGATTTAGCAGCAATGGTTAAATGTTGTATGTATGAGTTTTTAAAAAAGTGTCTAAACTCAACCTGAAGAATAATCAAACCCAGAGGTGGCAATTCCAGTTCCTTAGGGCCGGTATTCTGCAACTTTTAGATGTCCCTTTGGTTCAACACACCTGAATCCATAATTAGGTGATTAGGAGGACTCTGGAGGGACAGACTGCATACTGAGGAGGTAACTTAGCCATTTGATTCAGGCGTGTTGAACCAAGGATCGATCAAAAGTGGCAGGATACCTGCCTCCAGGAACTGGAATGGCCAACTGTTACGTCCACCAAGGGCACAACATATTTGAGGACACGAGACAAAAGATGAGGGTTCAAAAAAGATATTTTATTTATAAATTGCCTCCTCTTTAGCTTTCTTTGCTCGGCTTCTTCTGATTACTGCGAAGAAAAAAGTTAGAGGCCCTCAGATCCCGTGCCCCAAAGGAATCAAAAAATGAAACCCAAAAGTAACAAAAGAAAGTTGGACCTGGCAGGCTGATCAAACAGAACAAAACGGTACAGCAGGGGGCCAACCCTATACAGGGCCGTCGAAGCCCCTACTGGTACCGGACTAAAGGCCAAAAATAACCTAAGCAAAAGAAAAATCGAAAATAGGACAACCGGTCCCGCCAGGCCAAAAACCACAAGAAAAAAGTAAGCAACGGCTAACAAAAATACCGCATGGCAGGCTGGAACGTCCGCTGCAGGCCGCAGCGACAAGACAAGTGCGCACCGCGCACGATGGAACAAGTGGAAGCAGGTGGAAAGCGGCGTACAAGCGAAGCTGGAAAGGAACGCCCCAACATGCTGAAAGCCAGCCTATTTATA